CTCAGTTCAGCAAGGAGCAGGTCGAGGGATGAGGGTGCCAGGAATGTGCAGCCTCGGCAGGCAGGCAGGGCGGACACTAGTGCCTATTCAAGCCCAGGCACAGGCGCCTATTGTTCTGGGGGGCCCGCATGAATGTTTGCAGTTTTAATTGCAAAAACATTTGCTAATTCCGCTCAGGAATGAATTTGGGCTCATTTGTTGTCTGGCTATTAATAGTGTGGGGATGAGGAGGGGGACAGCAGCCGGTGGGTTTGCATTGCTCTCCCCCCTCTTGGGCAAACAGCAGAGGGAGAAAAAGGGATGGAGTAGGGTTAGGGTGACACCAGCAACTAATTTGGAAAGTTCGGCTACTAAAATACATGGGGATGTGTGCGCGTCTGTATATTTATATATATATATGCACACATGTATGTAAATAACTGTTTTGGGTTAACTCAAGTTGGAAGTTTATTGAAATATTTCTAACAGGTTATCTAAGGACAAAACAAAACAATTCTCTGACTCCAAATGACTTGCAGAGCCTTTTGGGCTTTCAGTAAAGTGGGATTTGGGCACTATTTACAAAAAAATGAGCTGAAGGATGAGAAAATGACTTGGAAACTTGGATGGAGCACCCTCCTAGGAGAAGGAGATGGTTCCACCGTGTGCTCCACAGTCTGTTTGCTTGTGTTAGTGTGTAGCAGAATGGTTTCAGGAGGAGAAACTGGGAGTGCTCGATTTTGGAGTATCACATAGTCTTCAAGGTGCTAACTCTGGTTTCAGATGCTTGCTCTGAATGAGGAATACAGCAGACTTAACACAGCTCTTCCTTACAGCTGGATTGCAAGGGAGAAAAGTACCCCATTTCCTTTCCCTCTTATGTGAGTGTTGCCTAAATGCACTGTTGAATCTGGCCTAAAAGACAGCAAGACTGGAAAGGAACTACAGATACTTCTGCATTTGTTTAGATAGATGAACGTTCTTGCTAAACACAGCCAAAGGAACTAGTTTCACACCTCTGACCAGAGTACATTTATCTGGTGAGTAAACCAAGGGCTAACAGGATTTGTTCCCCCTTTAAATACAAAGGATTCTAGTCAAATCAAGAGTGCCTCATCCTGCAAAGATTTCTGGCTGTTCTCAAATTTGGGGTCATAAGCCCAGAAGAGTGGCCAGAAGTGGGGCTGAGACTAGAAAAGTTTGGGAGCTGCTCGGCTATGCTTGACTTTATGTACTGGGAGGCATTCCATTAAGAAGAGGCTGTCAGCAGTACGTAAAATCAAGCATGTACTTAAGTCTGCGGGGTTGATGCTGGACAGTCCCAGAGAAGGAATAAGACCATAAAGATGTGTTTGATGCCAACTGACTGTTTTTAAAAAGGCACAACAGGAAGTTTACAAAGCCATCGAGATGCTGTGGCTCCAAGCTGCAAAACTCTGACCTGTACGCTTTGGAAACTCAGGGTGCTTAGGGAAACTCTAAGAAAGACTATAAGCCCTGCAGAGCAGGGGTTGCTTCCTTCTTTGATGTTATTGCCAAAACGGGCCCTACTCTTGATCACAGTCTTAAGACATTGCCATGAAACAAGTCGATGAAGCATAGAGTATTCAATGCATACCAAGCTCAAGCACTAAAAGCATCTAGAGACTCTGAACATCAGGAAAATGCCATGGTCATAATTATACTGGAGGAAGTTACTGGCATCAGTCATGGAAAGCAGAGTTTACAATTGACATCAATGTTATCTCCTACCTTGATGTCTCTCTTGCAAGCTTCCACATGGAAACAGCCGTTTGGATTTTGAGGACATCACATGCGGGACTGAGGGCAGAAATGTGGAGCCCTTTCCGAATTTCTCAAGCATTTCCTGATGAAAATAACACATATTGATACTTTATTGCTCCTGATGAGTAGTTATCTCCCTTTGATTTAATTCTGAAGTTTTGCTAATACATTAGATTTTGCAAAAGCCTTTTCAAAATCTACAGAGTAGAAGTACTCAATTCCTTTTTTTTTTTTTTAATACGAAGTCCATCTGTCCCAGCCACCAACAACTGTTCCGAGTCAGCTGTCAGTGCCAAAAAACACTCGGTGAAAATGTTGTTAGCTCTACTGCAATTATGATAAGTTGCTTGTTGGTATCTTCTGATGGGAAGTATTTGCAGTATTACTTTCTTTTCAGCAGGCAATAAAATAATCAGGACAAACAGCTCTGAGAGCTGGGCCAAAATCAGATGCTTAGTAACATCTTCAAAAAAATTCTTAGGAAGGGCTTGGTGTTCCTATTTGGGCAAGGAATATCTGGCATCACCACCAAAGAGCAGTTTGATGCACATCTACTTTACAGCTGTTGACAAAAACATGACACCAGCACATTCCCTCTTGCTTTGAATACTTCCCGGAATTATTTGGTTACTAGAGCACAAGTGGACTGAAAGAGTAAAACGTGGGTGTTTTTTTTTTTTTTTGTGAGGAGTAAAAGCTGCAGAATGAGATGTTGCCCTGATCCTGAACTTGGGTTCTTTTACTGACCTGTTTATTTCCTTGTAAAAGTTCAATTCTGTGTCTCTTGGCCCACTACACTGAGGATTTGCACCAGGAACACATGTTGAGTTGCCAAAAATCACCTAAACAAGTAAATAAAGCAGAATGAGCTTTTGCATTCAACTTCACAAATGAGGACAAAACCTGGTGTACATCATGGCCATGGGTGGGCCTGTTTTCTGAGTCTCCTGCCAGTTTGCCCTTATCTTTAGCCAGTTTCAAAGGGTAAAACACTGCTTACCCCCACTTTTGCTTTCTCTGCAGCTCATTTGGATCCTTATTTCTCTGTTAAGTTTCTCTTGCAAATTATGCTCTCTGCTTTGTCATTCTTTGTGATGAGTGTTTGTGTGTTGAAGCAGAACTGGCCTCTCAGTTGTATATTTAGAGCTAATGCTTCACAGTTGATTGCATCAAGCCTGGATGATCCGGAGAAGGATGATGTGGGGAAGGTTCATGAACTCCTTGCAGAGGAGGCCTGAAGTGGTAGGAGGGAGTTAGTGAGGGGAAAATTTCCACAGACCAACTAGTATTTTTTCAGGATCCTGGGTTCTCACAAGTCCTTTTCCGCAATACAAAAATATTTATTGCAAACATGCTCCTCAACAGGATAAAGCAACTACTCTGTGCATAAAAGCTGGAGGCCTGCTTTGAAACTGCTGTTTATATAAAAAGAGATTCAAGATATAAAATTAATTAGGATAATTATGTTCTCAATCTGGCTTCTCTATCAACTGGAATATGAACTGCAGTATCTCTTTCCACTTGATAAAAGCTATTTGCCTTCTCTCTGAACCCTTAGGGAGTATCATGTTTTTATAAGACACAAGATCAAAACCAAAATTCAACCACTAAGTGTCAGTTCCATGTAGTGGAGGAGTAAGGGTGTGTGCCACGCAATGAAACCCATTCCTTCCCTGAGTCAGGACAGGACCTAGGAACCAATTAATGGTTGTAATTGCACTAATGAGTTTTCCGGACCCAGCCTTCATTTTCACCCAAAGGGGCTGGATTGCTGTGTGGGTACAATTCTGTCAGTAGCTATGCTTGGGGCAGAGGATATACCAGTTGGGTTGCAGTTCTCATTCTCTTTTGCTGGAAATGGGGAGTTTTCAGTGCTAGGAACAGAAAATAAACAATAAAATCAACAGCTTGACATTTTTTTGGACGGAAACCTCAGGTCTATGTTTTCTTAACATCCTCCAGAGTGCTAACCCCCCTCAGTATTAGCTTGAGATAGAGGTATTGTCTGGAGACTTGAATTCTTTTTCCAGTGACTTACCAGTGACTTACCAACTTCACCTGAATGTTGGTCTCAAGGATCAATGACTCCTAAAAACTTCTGCTTCTCACTTCAGATAAGCGGAGGTCAAGCAGGCTTCCTCTAGGGATAAACTTTGAGGAAGGTGTATATTAAAGATGTTTCCTGCACAAGAATGGTCAGCTGAGGTTCTGTTATCACTTCTTCCTCAGCACTTTGATTGCCTTGCTGCATTTCATGCTGTAAGAAAGCTTTGTATGACTCCTCTGATGAAGTTCAGCTGTCTAACACACAGCTTGGAATTGCAAAAACAGTAAGACAGCTGCATAATTGAGCTGGTGCCCAATTCCTATTAGAGCAGCATCCTAAGCCAAGCCTTCACATTTCTTAGGGAAAAACCCACTGAAACGCAAAGAGCCAGCCCTTGAGAGGGTGTGCAGTTCTGAAGTATCTTGTCAAAGCTACTTCTCTGCTGCCTTGGGTACTGAAGTAAATTGCTTTTGGTGTTGACGAACTGTGGATAAACCAGACAACTTGTAGGAAAAAAAGCAACAGAAGCAGGAAGAAATTTTTATAAAAAGCAAAAAAAAAAAAAATCACTTCTGCAATCTCACCTGCTGCTGAGAACAGAGTTGGGTTGGATTCCTATGAGCTAATGTGCAAACTGGTGAGAGCCATCAATGGGAGTCCAGTCAACACTGAGCTGGCATTACCTAATTAAAAAGTAAACCATGTACGTGCTGTAACCTGACAGCCCACAGGTACTTGAGATAAGCTCAGATATTAATAGGAATTGTTCTGTGATGCAAGAATCATTTCTCAGTATAAATAATGCAATATATTGGGTAATGTACACCCCCACTACATACCCATACGTGAGGGCTGTGTAGTGCCCCTCATGTGGGATGGAGCACAGGGCTTAACACAGAGTCAGTTACCAGCTCAAGGGGAAAGGAAGGTTTCAGCATGGTAATAGATGAAGTAGATGAAATTAAATTGTGTTTGGATAATGCTCAAGGTTTTCTTGTGTTTTTAAGTCATAAATCCCAGGGATTTCGGAATTAAAGCTGGAACACTCGCTAACCTACTCCCATCAAGGTACCTGATTATTACAACACGAATGTAAGATCATCGCATGTTTAAGAGTCCTCTTAATTTATTTCGGCACAGCTGGCTCATCTGAAGACACAGAGCTTTAAAAACTGAGATGTGCCGTATCTCTGACATGTGGCTAAAAGGTAACATTTTACAACATTCAGCAGTATTTCAAGATTTGTAATCATGCTATTAAAATATATTTGGGTAACCTGGGTGAGATTTTCTGCAGAGCTGGAGAAGTCCACTGAAATCTAAGGGGATTTGTTCCCATTACTAGGCTGTGTTCCTAACTCCCAGAGCCTCTTTTGAAAATCCCTACGTAAATAAACTTTCAGGCAATTCCTTAAGTAAATGGTCAGCATTTTACAGGTGGGATGTAATTTGGTGCGCTCTGTTTTAGATTCTGTTTTTCAGAGAGCAGAAGCATAATACTTCCAAAAATTCAGGTCCTTTCAAAGTGTTTCTGTATGACTTTCACCCCGCAGCTGAAACCCCTAATTCACTGTCATTTTTGACAGTCTTGTCCAGAATGTCTCAGGATGTATAACAATGTTATAATGGTTTATCTTGAAATACTTCAGCAATTGCTGGATGAGGGCCCATAATAGTCTACTTATCCAAAGTAAGTCAGAATTTTTTTTTCATTAGCAATAACTGTAAGAGCTGTTTTGAGAAACCAAGGTTACCTTTTAACAGGGCCAGTAGTGCCACGCATAGCAGCAGTCCTGCTTTTCCTTCCCAGCAGGAAGGTTCCTGCCGCTTCCCATCTCTCCAGGGTGGCTGTGCACCGTCTCAGGCCTGCTCAAGTGGAGTCGGTTGCACAGCTGAGGACTTAATGATTTTGTCTGCACAAGGCTCTGCTAGAACTTTTAGGCCAAGATCAGCCATGGAGACAATGTATTTGTTTTGCTGGGATGTCATCCTTGGAAAACAAAGGCCTTGGTTCTGTTTTGATAGATGTTGTTGCTTTTACTGGCATTACGGTACTACGTATGGCTCCTCTTTGTGGATCAGTTTCTTTGCTAGGTGTTGTGCAAAGAATATCTCAGTAAACCAGTTTGTGTCATCATTCAATGAAAGCTACCCAAAGGACAAATTCATCGTGCTATTGGGCTGCCATAAAGATTAGGAGCATTCCTTAGAGAACTGGATGGCAATAGCTGCACGAGCAGCCCTTGAATCACAGCAGTGGAAAAAACTGAGTGTCCATAGGCAAGGCAGAGTGCCTACTACTTACCCCGAGGATCCATTAAGGACATTGCTGCCTGCTAATGGACTTCCTCCTGAGACGCTTTGGCTGCTAACACCCTCTCGAATGATTTCCGGCAGCTTACACAGTTAACAGCAGGGAAGGTGTTGCAAAGTCCTGTAGTTCTTGCTGCTTCTGTGAAATAGCTTTTATCCCTTAAAAGAATCTTATCAAGTGCTATTTTAATGCACATTTAAATCTTTGCTTTAATCTTTTTCTCTTCTGCACTGATCTCTGCAAAAGCTCTAAGATAAATATTTCTTTCTACCCACTGTGTTGTTTGGAGTTAATTATTTTTAGAGCCTGGAAAACATCCTTTCTCTAGTAGCAAGGTGTTCTGCATCAATAACGTTCCTTAAAAGAGGAACTCCCAGCTCTGTGTACAACAGTGACTTGTACCTCTGAACCAGCCCTGACTTCCCAGGGCTGTGGGAGTCCCCAGTCCTTGGAAGAGTGGGTTGTTTTTGTTAAGGTGTTTAGACACCAACAACTAAGGTGAAAGGAGCAATGCACAACCCTCTATTAGCATGAATGATATGTGCTTTGCTGACAGAACTGGTTGCACATGCCATGAAACTGGGCATGAAATAGGTTAGCCTGAACTACTACGAATCTCCTTGCTGATCTGGGAGTTACGACTGCAGAGGAGGTGCTGGTTTCTTTGCCCCTTTGGTCTTAGCTACTCTGCTGAGTTTCATATGGTGCATCAATGGGTCTGGCCTGATTTCTCAGGGATCGAGGAGGCAGCAGCTTATCTCATTTCCTGTGGAGCAGCAAATAGCTATTAGTTGGCCACAGCTTGGTCAGTGCTGCTTGAGTTGCCTTTGAACTGGTGATCTGAAGATGAAAGCCAGAGTGCCTTGTAATCACCTCTGGAGTCTCATGGGTTCTCCCTCCAACAGAACTCGCTGTTTGAATCAGTGAGCGTCCATATGTATCTGGTGTTTCCCCTTTGCTTTGGCCAGTGTTCAGCATCCCATAAATAACAGGGTAGTGCAGCACTCTGCCTGCCAAAGTAGCCTTGTGTGCGCTGGAGGGGAGATTAAACCAGGTACTAACTCCTCTCTTCTTCTATCAGAAATCCTCTGAAGGGCCTGGCTGACAAACAGCTGTCCTCGCCCACAGGCACTATGTGCTCTCCCACGCAGGGCAAGATAAGCCCTTTGAAGTCTTGGTTCTTTTGGCTGGCAGCAGCTTCTAAGGCGCTCCAGCGCCTCCCTCTCCCAGTTACCAACTGCTTCTTTAGTTCCCCGTTGTCAACAGCTGAGCTAGGATCAGGGCTGATAAGTCTGCAGGGCTGGATCAATGGGGCATTGCCAGGGGCATAGAGGATGCCAGATTCCAGGACACTTGTGGTGCTCTGTACGCATGGGAGGACTCAGGAGCCTTTCCCGGCGTGCTTGTAGCCTGCCAGCAGCCCACTGTTGGTCAACAATAGCAATTGCTCTCCTCGGTAGGGGAGGCTCGTCGTGTTCTGCTGCAGGCCCCTTGGTCCTCTGAAGCCTTTTTTTTTTTTTTTTTTAATATTTAGAAGAGACTCAGTTTGGCAGTTTTGACAGTTTGACTCAGCTCCTAAGGGTAAACAAAGGCAAGTTGGACCCAGCCAAGAGGAGATTCACCATGATAACAAGTAGCTCAACAAAGAGCAGGAGATGAAGGTCAAATCCAGAGATGAGGCAGAAGATTTGTCCCATTACCCATGCCTTGTCATGACACAGTCTCCCAATTTGTGTATTTGAATCTTCACAGAGAGGGGCTGGTTCAGGCAGAATGGCCCTATGGGAGAGGCACAGAGGACTTGTGTAGTGACCTGGCTTCAACTGTTAGCGCTGGAGCTGGGTTGCATGCAGCAGTTCTGCCCGCAGCATGTAAGGGGATCACTAACATTCTTGGCTGTAACACTGCACAGTCTCTAGGAGAGCGTGTTTTTGGAGCTTCTCGTGGTCTAGTGACAAACATGTCATAAGTCTGGCTGCTTTAATGTCTCCCAAGAGTTTTGCAATTCCTGGCCCATCCTCGGTCACTTCTGAGAGACACATGCCATACGTCTCACATCTGTCACTCAGCTTCATGTTCTTGACGCGAGGGAAAGTCTTTCTGTGCTACAAAGCCTTTTCTCTTTTTCTCCCTCCCTAGTTTCCTTTTCATATCTGTATCCCTCACTGAGAAGCAATATCCCTTTCAAAGAAACGCCTAGGAACACATCTGCAGAATTTACAGCCGCTTCCCAAGGCTTGAGTGTCCTCCTCTTTAGCAGCAAGCTGTTAAGCATGTTCTTAAGTGGCACGATAAGTGTTACGATCCTTTCATCTCCTGGCTCAGAGCATGCTGGAGATAACTGATAAGGGGGTGACAGCAAGGAAGATGCATAGGCACCTTTGGATTTAATTCCTACTTTGCAAGGCAGTCTTTAAAGCACAGCTGCTGTGGGAACACAAGCTGGTAAAATAAAGCTGGTCCTTCCTCTTTCAGCATATGGCTTTTCCTCATGTCTCCACAGCAGATCCTCTGTCTGTACCAGAAGAGCCCAGGCAGAGGTGTGGAGTGAGCTAGGTTCTCCACTTGCGACCCTTTCTTCTGGCGCTGACATCCAAGGGACTCAGCTTGAGTTGTCAGGTCAGATTTTGGAACTGGCAGCTGGAAAACGGAGATAAAGAGCAGCGTATAACCGGGAATCTGTTAAGAGACGGTAGGGCCAAGATAGTCCAAAACGGCCAGTGATTTGGATGCACTGCTAGAAATGCTTTAAAAAGGAGCTGATCCAGGGGGCAGATGTTTGACCTCTTTTGAGATCACGTTGCTTTGTGGCATCTCAGACTGGGCTTTCAAAAAGGAAGACTCCACAAATCATTAGTTACTTTAAGACTGTGTCTAGACACTGTTTTGGTTGGTGATTTTATTTCCACAGTTCCTTTTTTATAGCAGTCCTTTCTGGATTTGAGCTGCACTTTAAACAGAACTGCATTTGCAGTATGGGAGTAGTAGTCTTGCACATGACGGGCAAAGATGCATTCCTCTGCATTGAGTCTGTGGAGAGCATTACGTCAGCTACAGCATCACGTGGGGTGGGAGTCTTTAGACCACTCTTTAACAGACTGCTCATTCAATTCCAGAATTCCTGGTTTAGTCCCTTGTCTGCTGGCTGAAACAGGTGGCAAGCATATGCTTTAGTAAGGGTCCTTATTGGGGCTGGGCTTCAAGGTCAGCTGCATCCGGCCCACATTCCAGCTGAGTCCCTGTACCTCATCTTCTGGCCTGGCTGGCTCTGGGCCGTCAACCCCAGAGGTTTCTAACCATGGTACACGTGCCGGCTGTGGAATGCAAACCACTTCAAAGTAGTGTGCCTATGGTGCTAGCCTGTGCCAACCTGCTGCTTTTTCCTCCAAGGAAATAGGGAAAAGTGTTTGGCGCAGAATGGGTCAAACAGCTTAACAACTCCTCCAGGGTGTGCGCATTGCCTAGCGGAGCACAGGGAGCCGCTGCTCATCCCACATCCACCTGAGAGGAGACAGCGTGTGAGCGAACCTGATACAGGCTAGGAGATGCTGCCCCATGGTAGTACGTACCTATTGCAGTCTGTTGATAGCGCTGGTAGCCGTGCAGATGAAGTTTGCGAGCTCTTGGGCATGCTTGGCCTGGGGACATGGAAGTAGAGCTAGTTGAGTGAGAGCCTTTAAGTCTTTGGCAGGGTTTCCAGCTCAGTTTGTGAGCAGGCATGATCCAGAGCAGACAATCCCTGCTGCACTGAGAAGGCTGTATCCAGGTGCTGCAGCAGAGAGGACATCCAAGGAGCCCTAGTTAGAGCTAGGCTGTTTCAGTGGGCCTAATCCTGTTTTTACTGTTGGGTTAAGCACAGTGATTTTCACTGCCAGCACTGTGCGTGCAGTGGCA